AGTGCGCAACTGCGGCAAAACAGCATGAGTACATTTTGTTTTAAAATAGTACGACTCTCTTTTAGCGCAACATTGATTATCGATAATAGTTCCAATCCATATAAATAAAATAAGATCCTTATCGCAAAAATCAATATAACACAGCATTAAAAGTTACGGTTTCATCACAAATCTTTCTGTCGTGCACTGAAATTATTAAAAGCATCAGTGACAATAGGGATTCTCTATGATCCAGTTTATTATACAATTACAATATCTTTCGCTAATCATATACTGTGATAAATAATAATCGTAATAATCGTAGTATGTCTAGATAACACGAACTATTTACGATTGATATGACTTTATTTATACACCGTCGGCATATTATTCTCGCTCTCGTCTTTTCGCTCTCTTTCTTTCTCTTTCTCTCCCTCTCACTCGTACTATCTTTCTTTCTCGTTCTCTCCTTCAAAAATCGCCTTCTCATCAAAGGATGAAAAATGACAGGCGCAGCATTCATTAGCAAGAAATTTGTCTAATTATTACAGTTCGCCGACGTAAAACTCGCAAATTGCGACGTTGTTCGCGATCACGATCGCTCGACAGGCGTAGTTGATAATTCTTAGTACAAAATAGTCAAATGATTTTTCGTTCTCGTTCGAACGGGAGTCTCCGTCCGCCACGACGCTTTTTTTTTGTTTAAGAACTGTCATACCGTGCTCTTCGCGTATTACTCTTACACGACTATGTTATGCGCCTCATGATAACGTATTACACATCGAACGTTATTAAAGTCTATGGTAATTCTATAATTCTCCACGAAGAACAGTGTACATTGGATACTTGAAATATGAAGTTTGCTAAATTCCTAAATATTAAGAAGTTTCATGTTTTTCACATATCTTAATGAAGATAGCGTATTAGACGAAATTATACATAGATAATTTAATACATATTATGATTTTAATACATATGATGATTATGATGACATAGGATAATTTTAAAGTACATAAGTAAAATATTTCAATTACCAAACAATATTTTATATCAAATTGTTTCATTTTACATATACATATACATGAACAGACAAAGAACTCAAATTTTAAAATTATTGCGAATATATAAATTTAATCAAGTATCAAGCAGAGCTTTCTTCAATTGAAGTTTAGCATTTTCGTAATTTCAAGTACCCAATAGTGTTTTACGTCGAGAATGCAAACTCTCCTACGAGTAGTCGACTAACTGGTACACCCGGAGCTTCGTAGCTGCATTTCTTCTTAATTACTGAACATCTAGAACCGCCTTAAGCCAATTACGACGCAGATAAAGATAAAAAGTAAGGAACCGGATATGAAATTCTTTTTTTCATTCATCTATCTTCCGAATTGAATAAATACATTTGTGAAGAATAGCTTAATAATTATTAACAAATTATTTTATTTTGCATGTCTAACCGTTGTGCAAATAAATGCTATTAATTTACAACTGGCAATTAACGGCGAATCGAATTCTAATTCAGAATTAAAATGCTTGCTCCGTTGCGTTGTATTTCTGATTCCGCCTCTTATTTCATCCGATCGTAGATTGGCTCTTACTGACGTAAATGGCGCATCGAGTATTATTTGTTCGCTACTGAATTGTGTGTATATGTGTGTATATACAGGTAGTATATACAGAATATGAAGGTGACGGGACGGTAGGAGGAACATACATCTTTGTAGCGCAACACCACAAATCGCCACAATGTTGCCACAATAACAAATGATAATTCTCAAAAACTAAAAAATATTGCATCGATATAGTCCATCAATTGTCTTCTCACAAGGAACGAAAATTATAAACGAAAATTGAGTCTAAAGGAAAAATGAAGGAAAGCAGGATCGTAAGAAATCAAACGAAAAATAATATGGAAACTAAAGTTTTTCTAGGATTTTTATTTTCAAATAATAAAAGTTAAAATATAATGAAATAATAATAATAATAATAATAATAATAATAATTTTATCAATTAGAATAACTAATAATAGCTATCACTACAATAATGCTTCTTTTCACTTGTCTATTGCGCCAACTTAACGAGCGAATAATCAAATTAACCAACAACGATGCTGTAGATGCGAGGAGAGGGGTGGGGGCCGCGTTTCTCTACATAATTAATACTTAATTATCTACAAACATGTCTCTGAGACGGACAAACAGAAGTCGAAAGCACCCCACCCGCTTTCACAATACTCTTCGTGCCTGTTTTTCTCTTTTCGGTTTCCCCCCGACCTAGAATACTCTGTCTTTTTGTTCTCTCTCTTTTTCTCGTTTCTTCTTTTTATTTCACTCGTCATCGTCGTCCGCGCACTTAACAAATACGCGGCCTTAGGAACTCTTTTTATTCGCGCTTCTCTCCTTATCTTAATATAACCCGCTTCTGTTCGCGCACGCGCGCGTGCTCGTCGGCATCTTCGCTACAACTTGGTCCACAACTCTGGGAGGGGTCGAAGTGAAATGAGGGCGAAATGAGCCTGAAAAAAGATACCGGAAATGAGCGTCATCCAACAATTTGCACGAGTAAAGTTCCCAACACATTTGTATTATTCACTTTGACTATCGGTGGGCGGATCTTACCGTTTGAAAGTAACGTTTATTTTAGAAGGAAAAACAAATCAATGCGATGTAAGTGATGGAATGTATACAATACGAATTATTTTGCACTATCAAACACATCTGAAATTAGATTCTACAGTCGGAGCATTGCGCAAATTGTTGGATCTGTTTGATTCCATGCAATGACAACTCGCCTCGTTGTAATCACGCGCGCAGATGTTCGAAAATACTTAGCGGCGGTTCGCGTAAAAGAATCTCACAATAATGTGTGCACGACGAGCGACGTTAATTAGCAACAGTAGCATGCTTTGTGACTATATAGTGACAATTATAATATTAATGATAATGATAACGACGACGACGACGACGATGATAATGATAATGACGATGACGGAGTGATGATGATGATTATGATAATAATAAACGTTGTTATTTTTTAACGATCCGACACGACGGATCCGTTATAGTATACCTATTATGTACAATATTTATTTATACATTTATATATATATATATGTATACATGTGTGCGTGCGCGCGCACACACACATATGCACACACACGTACGCACGCATGCACGTACGTACACACACACACACACACACACACACACACACACACACACACACACATGCTGATGCAAGTATATATTCGCGTATATGCGATGGTACAGTCAGTATCCTCGAGATATTACAATTGTTATATGTATACATTCACGCAAATTCTGCACGTTGATAGTGAAATCTATACACACGCATGGCTCTTAGAGAATAAGCATACGATCGATACATACATATATATATATATATATATATCACGTTCGTTTCCTCGCCTATATCATAGCCCTTAGTTAATCATCGAGACCCCTCCGCTGTGACCGATCCCAGCGAGCATAAATTGACGGTCACAGTAGAGCACGACGAGAGTTCTACTCAGTATACACGAAGAAAAGAAATGTCCACACAACGATATATCATTCTCAAATTTATTTACGATTAAAATACTTGCACGTTGTTGCGCAATTTATAAAAAAGAGAAGGGATTCTCTCCTGAGAAATTTGTCGTGAACCCCAAAATCCCATGTTCGTCAATCTCGATGCACAAATATACATATATTGTACGTACGCTATATACATATATATATAGCGTATATTCGCAGGTAGTGCATATACTGTATATACATGTTACGTATTACCTCGTTGCCGTTATCTACAATATTATGAACTATCACTCACGACTATCGAAAAAGATGCTCATCAAGAATGCGAGTGCTCTTACTCGCGGCGTTGCGACGCGCGCCACGTTGCCTCCGAAATGCCTACAAGATACCACCGTGTTCTCGAATATACACACATCTATATATAATACTTACTTATTGTACCTCACAACAATATACTTTGGCATGAATTATGAAGTCGCGCGTATCAATCGTGATTCACAGAACTCAGCACTACGTGGAGACATCACGCGACTCACTCGACCGCAAGATACGAGGAAGTCGCCTCGCATTCTCGATAGTCTCCAGTGTGTAAACTCACGTATATACAGCCCTGTGACACGGATATGTACGATAATGTGACAGACACGCCTACGTGTATATATATGTATATATATACAATTGTATTGTCGGACCTCGCCGCATTTTGCCATTGAGATGCATTGCCGTAACCCTGCTTACCACGGAGACGCCAAGAGCGCCGCCGATTTTTTTTTTTTTTCGAAAATTACTGGATAAGAAAAGGAAACGTGCGATAAACACTCGCGATAGATCCCCTTTTATACGTTCCAATGTAGTTTCAATCGTAAAAATGTTTTTGTCGAATGTTGTTCCTTCGTTCGTTAATTTTATAAAATCACTGTTATATATACTACTGCTAAAGATCAGATTGAAATTAAATAGGAAGACTGACTTTGATTACGCTTTTTGTGAAACTCATGACATTATTTATAAAACGTTTGCTAATCATTGTTATTTTTTCAAGAAACATTATTTTTTGTGAAAAAGAATAATAAGTGGTCTACAAAATTTTTTTTTAGATGCACTTTATCTGAACAAATCGTGTACGCTATAACATTAACCGAACATTACAACATTAACTGTACTCGATTTGGACAGTCAAAGTCTGTAATTTATTATGGATATTCTCTTATATATAACATATTTAATCAAAAATGATTTAGTCAAATAAAATGGTTAAAAAAGAAAGAGCCAATTGACGATCGTAAAAAGAGATTATCAATTGTCACCTTCGAAACATAATAAAAACATGATGAAACAGTTCTGTAAAAAAAAAAATATATATATATATAACGAAATGTGAAAACGTGGAAATGCTACAAAGAAAATAGAGAAAGAAAATTCTATATAATATTACAAAACGGATTTGTAAAATTATATAGGATTATATTTTCTCTCTGTTATTAGAAAGATGTTCGTAAAAGTATGTGACTTAAGCTTGACATAATTTAACGAACACCATTGCTATTAAAAGGAAAGGTATAAAATAAGATATAACCGGAAGATTTTCGATTCAGTCGCGTGTCAACTTACGCGTTAGAATATCTTGCAACAGAAGTGACATTGCTGGCACTTTGTTCGTGAGTAACGCGTGCTACGATCGCTCCTGTAATAACCATCGCTAATATAGTTGCCGATTAAAAATGTTTCACATAAAAAGATCTTGTTTTTGTTACGTTAAAATTATACATCTCAGTGTATCACTCGTTTTCTCTTCAAAACGCAGCGTGTCTTCGTATACTCTTTAGTAGATTTGGAAGTTATATTATGCTCAGATAATTTGATAATGACGTACTCTTATATCTTTTCATCTTTATTCGTTTTTTTCTCTTTTCTTATATTATTTTGGTTCACAAGGCAGCACCTCGATATAACGTCGTGTATCGAACGTTTCGCGATAACGCGATCAACGAGAATCCCTCATCCTTGCGCTATACATACGTTCAATGCCGGATTTCATCTAATACTGATGATCGTGATCTTCACTATTTTTCACAAACTAACATGCCACATGTTATTTCGATTAAATGCTTTGTGAGATTAGATCATCGGCTAATGATAGAACTCCGATAAATTGCACAAGCGTCGTTGTTGTTGTTGTTGATGATGGTGGTGATGATGATGCTGATGTTGCTGCTGCTGTTGTTGTTGATGGGAAGGATGCTGACGATAGAAAATGTCCCCTTGATGGGCCGCTTGCTGGTGTCACTCATGAGACTTGCCGCTCAGTGGATGGTAATTTCCACCTGCCGAAGCTACTAGAGCCAAGGGCAAAGGCGAGCCCAAGGGTGCCTGGTGAGGATGCGAGTGGCCCACACCGGAAGAATGTGTCGTAAGAGCAAGAGGCGAACCGGACATGGAACCAGCAAGAGAGGCGAACACCGAGGGCGCCGGCGACGCCAGAGTTGGGCTTCCCATTACTGCCGTCGGAGGATTGATTCTCTTCTCCTTCTGTCTCCTGAAACGTAGTCATATGTTATTTGAAGATAGCGACAAACCATAGAAAATGGTGCGAAATTTGTCTAGAAGAGAAGTAGAAATTGCTCTATAAATTGCGCATACAGCTTCAATGCTTACCGATTGCAGAACCATACGCGAACCACTTCTTTCTCCATCGCGAGACTATCCGCCAATATGGTTATTTCTTCGGAGGTAGGCTTTGGGTTTTGGATAAAGGCCTTTTCTAGCGCCACTCTCACACTCGTTTCTATCGACGTCCTTTTCTTCCGCCGCCTGCCAATCGCTTCCGGCGTCGTAAGTGGATTCGACAGAGAATTGGGATTGTTTAGGGAATTATCAGCGTCTTCCAGCCACTTTTGCAACAGAGGCTTCAATTTGCACATATTCTTGAAAGAAAGATTCAACGCTTCGAACCTAAAATGTAGAGAAGCGTCCACTTCTCATTAGATTTGAAGATGCTTAAGTTGTTAAATTAACAGACGCATGACAATGTTACTCGATTCAATATATAACATACAACGTATATGTGAATATTCATTTATTATTTCTTCTATTTCTACATTACATGTATATAATAATTCAAACAACATGTGTAAGTTCAAAGATGATTGGATCCAATTGAAGAATAATTTAAATTCAAGATATAATCACCTGGAGATGGTAGTTTGAGAAAAATCATTGCCATATAGTTTTCCCATAGCAAGTCCTACATCTCCTTGAGTGAAACCGAGCTTGATCCGCCTCTGTTTGAATGTTTTGGCAAACTGTTCAAGCTCTTCAAGATCCGTCGTTTCATCCGGGGAAGGATCCAATCTTGGTGGGGCTTTTATCGCTGGTGGGGTACCGGACGGTGGCGGTGTTCTCTGCTGCGCTAAGCTTCGCCCAACTAAACTGCCACTACTTTGAAGAGCCTGCTGCTTCTGCAACGCTTGTAACTGCTGGGCCGCCTGCACTACCGCTTGTTGCACCTAATAAAAAAGTTGAAACTTTCTTCAAAATCATGTATTTCGTTCGAAGAGAACGTGCTAAATTGTACCGTTACGTGAGTAAATTGTACCAAATGATAAATTTCAAAGAATCATAGAATCGTAAAATTACGGTAAAATCGAATGAATAATGTGTTTACGACGGTCGAAGCAGAAATTTCCTATCGATTTTAAATCGCTCTTTTATGTTCCAAAGTATGCACTGAGGTTTATTTTCGCAACTGACAACGTCAGACCTAACTCTGGCCTAAATCGTACCTGCATGGACTGTGAGCGCGGATGATTCGATCTTGTTGGGTAGCCACTGCTCTGCAACAACCCCTGTAAGACGTTGACGATCATTGGTGAAAGTTAACGTAATGGTCATCTAACTTTCAGCTGTACTCGCAATCTCACGTTGTAAGGCAATTATTACACGAGCGTCACGTTTCGGCAGCGACGCTCTCACAAACAGCATCTTGTCATTTGAATCGCGACTTTATGATTGATTTCTCTCATTTCTACGCTTCCAGATGTAAAATCTCTGTAGAGACGCAATTGGGTGTTAGGCGCTGAATTCTACACTTGCCAGTTCCGAACGAAGATAGATGTCTTACGGCATCAATGTTTTACGGAGCGATGAATCGCGCGGCACGTGCCCGACTTGTGTATGCACAGGTATGAAAAATATAATTCTTCAAGGGTTCAATCTAACCGATCGATTATCTCCACCCTTTCCTCAACCATGACTCCCGGTTACGAGAATGAAGGGTTCGCGTCGGGCACGGTATCCTGGATCGGAAAGGGTTCGGGGTTGGTCGCGTGTCGCCGGCATGCGAGCAGCTAGTTTATGCGCATTGTGGCCGCGAAGACACCCTACGGAAACGCCTCGAGTCGAGCCACGTGCGGGATCAAGCGCGACAGGTTTATCGTCAACGATTCTAAGGTGTTCGTCTAACTAACCCAAGCCGTCAAGATCTTATAATGTTCGATAGATGAAACAACGATATAGAAATATTTGTAAAAATATTAGATTACGTAGAGCGATGTTTATCTTTCATTCTTTAATTATCAAAGTCGAGTAAAAATGTTAGTGAACAATATGCAAGACGTGTATAAAATATTTTGCTTCCCTGAATTTATTCGAACTAGTCAACAATACGAACAGTATGACCCAACATTGAGAACTAATTTACTCTTGCGTTAAAAAAATTGTCATAGTTCCAAATAATAAGAAAAACGGGAGATTTATTTAACTGCATCGACCACTAATTCGACTAAAATCACAGGCTGCTACAATTACTCTAATTATTTTACAATTATTCGGACCTGAAAAGAGAGAAAGATTGTACATTAAACGACACTATCATACATCTCTGTCACGGTGATCGAAAGCAAGACACAAAGGGCCTGCGAAGGGTGATTTCCGAATGAAGAAACTGAACGTCTGTTGCGGCGGATAAGCCACAAAGGCCCTCACGTGGCGCGCACACGTAACGCCCGCGAAAAGGGGTTGAGGGGCAGGTTGTACTCGGCGGAAGGGTTTCCCGAATGAAGAAGGTCGCGTGTGCCCTTCTTAATGCTCCGCGCGAATAAGAAAAAAAGAAGAACGAGAGGAGCCCACGGAGAGAATCCTCCCGCGGCTCGGGAAGGGAAAGAGCGGGATGAAAAAAGGAAACATCCTGGCCACGTGTGAGGTAACAAAGGTACCCCGTGGCAAGGTGCCGAAGAGAGACCTGGGCCCACCTTGTGGCGTCGTACGGTACCTCCCGATAGACAGGGAAGATCTAGGGGCCTACGGCGGGACCGTGCGTGTGTGATATGCGTGCGCGCACAATAAATACATGATGCACACACACGGGCAACGCGGATGCCCATTAAGCGTGCTAAAGCTCGAAGTCGTTTTGTTGGTTTTTCCCGGAGACTATAGTTGCACGCGCACGTCGTGCCGGATTCTATGGGGATTTTTTCGTACAAACGCAGATCCTCGGCCATTCAGATCGCGCGAGAAGAGAGAGAGAGAGAGAGAGAGAGAGAGAGAGAGAGAGAGAGAGAGAGAGAGCGAGAGACCGGGCGGACGAGAGATCGAGCGGCCAAGACGCGCGGCGAGGGCGCATCCCAGGAAGGAGGGTCGTTTTTCAACGTGTCTCCCCGGATATCGTGGATCGATTCCTCCCTCTGTCGATCCGAAGGATCCGTCGAACAAATAGTGAGAAAATCGTCGAGCGCTCCTTCGATCAAAGGAATGCACGCTGCGAAACATGATAAATATGTCGCTTCTCTGTGCCGGCGATCGCCGGACGCATTTTCAAACACGCTCGGAACGTGATATCTATCGAGGAAAATCGGAAAATCTCTTTGTACACGTTTTCCGGATATACCAGCCATTTTTTTCCGCGTATTCCTAATGTGCTCCCTATTGTGTCCATGTCATAACGGTACTGGAGAAATAAAGGCACGGTGTATTATGCGCGTTGTAATTTGAAACTAATTGCGCTGCGACTTCGGCCCTACCAGATTTAAATGATTTGAATGATGCTTCAATAGGTTCACATTTTTCAGCGGCATCTTGTCCGCTTTTCCACGCAGAATCTTATATTCAAAATTTCTTCGCCTATTATATTTGCGTCGAACACTACTCATTCCATCGAGAGAAAAGAAAGAGGGAGAAAGAGAGAGAGAGAGAGAGAGAGAGAGAGAGAGAGAGAGAGAGAGAGAGAGAGACAACAATAAGAATAAGCACAAATCTGCGAGTGATAGGCAGACCCGACCAAAAGTCACACCGTGACCAGCTCGACGACTACTCCCGCAGCCTTTAATGCGGCATAATGGAACGCGCTAAATTCGGCCGTGATGCGGTTGCAAGTTTGCACTGGCTGCGCTCGTTGCATCGGCGAGAGCGAGCCTAAACGAAGAGGCAGCACCCCGGTCTCTTTTGTGCCGTCGCCAGACGGTTATCTCGACGTCGATCGCGAGAGTGCCGTCCGCGAAGAATAAGACGTCCGCTCTCGCCCTGTGCCCGATCAGATAATGCCGGCCGAACGTCGCCGCTTTGGGTTCGTACCGATCCGTCCCGATCCCGCCGACGAAATCGCGACGGCACGAATTGCCAATTCGCGTCAACCAGCTACGTAATTCGGCAGAGTAGTTAAAGAACAGTCGGTGTGCGTTCGTGTGTATGTATGTATGTATGTATGTATATATGTGTGTATGTATGTATGTATGTATGTATGTATGTATGTATGTATGTATGTATGTATGTATGTATGTATGTATGTATGTATGTATGTATGTGTATATGTATGTATGTGTATATGTATGTATGATGTTGTATATGTATGTATATATGTGTATATGTATGATGTGTGTATGTATATATATATGTGTGTGGAACAATACACAGATCGGGGATACCGGACGAAGGTTCTCGCCTCGAGAGAAGCTGACCGAACTATCAGTTAACATTGCCATTGCAATGGTGTTGTCGTTGCCAATATTCATGCCCAGGACTTGTTCTAAACGAATATTAGAATGAGAAGTCAGATCTGTATACTCACCTGTACACCCACCTGGTTCTGCAGAAAGAACTGTGCTTGCGCCGGAAGCTGCCCCGTAGCCGCAGGATTAGCCTGTTGTTGGAGCATGGCAAATTGCTGCAATTGTTGTTGTAGCGACTGCTGCTGTTGCTGTATCGTCGAGGCAAGCGCTTGAATCTCCTGGGGTCCCAGTGCCCCGAGAGAGCCATGCATTAGCAACTGTTGGCTGACTAATTGAGCAGCTAGCGCCGCCTGTGAGTTGCTATTTTGTTGGTTTTGTTGAGTAGTCGTGTGTTGTTGCTGTTGCTGCTGTGGATGACTCACAGTCAGCTGACTGCTAACTCCGGAACTCGGAGAGGATGCGCTGCCGCTGGTACCGCTACTGCTGTTTCGATGCGATACGTCCGTGACCTGGAAGAACAACGTCAGATTTGTATTGCATTGTATTTAATCCTATTTGCAGTACAATCTTTGCGTATTAATAATTCCCGGTATATATAACATACCTATTCAATTTGACTAAAATGTAATAATGATAATATTACAAAATTCTTTTCATTATTTTCTTTCACCAATTGTATAAACTTACAATTTTTGTGAAAAATATTTCAGATTAGATAGATTATTGTTTTTTTTTCACTTCCTGTCTGTATAATAATTTATAATGTAATATGTTATATAATTATATAAACATATATTTGTGAATATTTTATAAAACACTGTAGAGATACTTACATTGTTGATCAATTGTTCTGTCGCTAATATAATTTTTGTTGCCAGCATCTTTATTATTAATATTATTTCGAAGTTTAAGTATTTAAATATTTCAAATACTATAAATGGATATTTCTGGTGAAAGATTTGAATGTCTTCTTTTAACCATTCTATCATACTCTTCCTAAAATGTTTTAATAAATTATTGTAATTTAATAAATTACAAATTATACACACACACAATGACTTTGAGATATAATTTTAGTAATTCTTTTAGAAATAAAAACTTTTTGTTTTTATATTATTCGTATCGCGTACATTTCACATTCACTAAACTATTTTCCACGATTTAAGCATAAAACGTATAAAATACTTGAATGAATAATTTAATATACAAAGTAAGGAGACAACAGCTTGCTCCGAATGGCACTGGGACTATCACCGTCGATCTAATGACTGTTTATGTTTTGAATTAGCGTTATTCACATTTCGTGAACGTTCACGTACTCACATTACTCGTACACTACGTGTACGAGTAATAAGATAAGAAAATGATTCAATATTGAGTTCAGTCACTTCTAGAATACTTGGAAATAATTATAAGCAATGAACGACCACTCTTTCTCTATCTACATGTCTATGGCTAAACTTCGGAACACGACCAATTACTTGAATAGAAACAGCTTCAGTAGCGAATTTAAATCAATCGTACCGCAAATATTATTCTATAATTATCGACGTATCAATCGACGACATTATAATGTACCGTAGTGCGTTGTCGTTTCATCCACAGAAAATATCTCGGCGATTCTATGGTTAGATGCGAGTAAAAGTTTTATCGTTTCCAAGATTATCATACAACGATCTTCAACTCCCTCGAAATGTGGGCTATGAGATTTCACGCTTTAACGTGGGACCAGGAACACGAAAAATCTGTTGAACTACGCAAGAAGTGAGAGGAAGTGAGAGAGAGAGAGAGAGAGAGAGAGAGAGAGAGAGAGAGAGAGAGAGAGAGAGAGAGAGAGAGAGAGAGAGAGAGAGAGAGAGAAAGAGAGAAGGAGGAGAGAGAGGGAGAGCCACCCTTCCTAATATTACAGAGTAAATTCGCCGTCGAACAAAGCCATGTTTACATTCGGCCAGGTCAGGATATTGGTCACTATACCGTCCATCCTTTGTGTTTTATAAAACCTACTCCCTACGTCTCGTTCTCTCTCTCTCTCTCCCTTTTCCTCTCTTGTATTTTCCTGTCGTCCATCTCTGTTAGTGGCTTCCTTTATTTATTTGTCAAATATTGATCGCGAGTTCTTTTTACGCCCGTCAAGAACGTCCCGTAAGAAAAAAATCAAAGACACGACCGTGCCTCGCTCGAGGACGTCCGTCTCGATAGAAAGCATGCCGGATATTACGCTCGCAAATGGGATTGGTACCGTTGATATATTTAAGTAACGTGCACAAGCAACGCGGACACAATGGGTGACATGACAAAGCAAGCTTTCGTCAAAATAAGTGAAGAAATACCATTGAAATTAAGTTGCAGAAACTCATCTTGCATCCAGTGTTATTAACGAATTAAATATAGGAATACGTTTGAAGAATGAAATTAATAATATAATTATTAATATAAGCACAGATATATAATATATAATATAACTCAAATATAAGCGATCGATTGAAAGAGAAAAAAAAATTGAGAAGAAAAAAATTTTGCTATTTCTCAAGTAGATCTAAATAAGATCGCTTTTCCTTTCCTTAAAAAAAATATTGAGTTAAACAATTTTGTTTTAAATTTAAAAGAGAGTAAATGTAATATTTGTGACAATTTTCTGTTAACATCTAGTGAAATAAACGAGATGTTGCTGTAATACAGAACTGTTGGGACATATTCTCTTTTAACTTCACGACAGTGATGACAAAATAACATAATTATCAGCTAGACTATTCATTATGTTATTAATTTCAAGAGTGTACGTATTATATCAAACATCGATATTAATAGAATCGTTGACATATGAGCCTCGACACGAAGAAAAACAACTCATTTCGCGCGTATTACACAAACACCTGTAGCTTCGCACACGCAAGATGGCGTGGCAAATTATTTGCGATTTATACTCGTAAGTCTATCCGTGGCGGTAAAAGCCGCTCCTCTTTCCACCGCTTTTCATGCGCTTCTTCATGATCATTAACATGCGGTACATGCGTGATAAAGTGTTCCTCTATCGACACCTTCCTTGTCGCTCACGCATCAACTTCATGCAGGAAACGGATATGCATTTATCGAGACTAATTATAATTATAATATGGAAAAATGACAAATAACAAAACTGAGATCCTCACGTCAGACTTGTAAATTAAATTTTCGACCAAGCATGAGAACAATGATAAGAATAGCTGTAAAGATATATATATATATATATATATATAAATGTAAATATGTGCGGAATGAAGAAGTGAATGAAATAAACGAATACATGAAATAAATGTTCAGCAGAATAAAGAAAAGAGATGTAGAGAAGAGAGAAGGAATATAAGTGAAAAATTTATTCACCAGGTTAAGAGCTTCCTTGTCAGAGCTGATGGAGTCATTATCAAGGTGCTCCTCGGTGGCATCTTGGATATCACTCGCGATACTTCTATCATCACCGCTGAGTTCAGGGCCGTCGACTTCGCCGTGCAAGTCCGCATCTGCAACAAGTAAACGGTATTTCTTAAAGAACCATTCACATACTTTTCTACAAATGGCATAAAATACGTTCATACGAACGATATAAGAATACACGTCAATAATTTTACTCTCGAAATACAAAGTGACAGTATGACAGACTGATCAACAATTGCATGTGTGTGCAACATTCCCAAATACAATGTAAATTGAGAATACGTCGAATGCATATTAACATTCCCAATGAAATTAATAATGAGCTTATGTTATAGAAAGATCGCGCTGCCGCCGTACAATCATTGTTGTTCTGCGCTCTATACTTCTGATGATGATGGTGATGATAGTGCGTGGGGGTGCTGGTCGGCGTGCTGGTGGCATGAAGACGCATGTCCGCGAGGATCATCCTGGAGTTCTCCAGAAGGACCATCTTAACTCCGTCTCGTCTGTACGCCGTCCTCACATCGGGACGTCTCGCGAGCTCCAGCACGATAATCGATTTCTCGCGCGAAAGCAAAAAGGATCGCGCACGGCGATCCTACGTCGGTCTATCGATCGGCGCGATTTCATCCCGCTTCCCCCCCGCGGGGGACATGGCGCTTGAAGAGACCGAACACCTCGCTGGAAAAAACGCGACGGCTCTCCACTTTCTTCCACCGAACGGAATTAACCGGCGATCGAGCGCGGTGACGAGTCACGTTTGCGAGTAACGATTACAGACGCGCTCGAGATTAATCGCTCGTTAACATTAACTCATTAGCTCATTAATATTAACTGCGACTTCGCGACTCTATCGAAATCAGCGCTTCCAAGGTGGGATTGCCCGAGGTCGTCCCACGTCACGAAGGTCACCGTCGCAACGCCGGTCCTCGCCGGCGAACCGATACAGAGCGAATGTTAGAATGACGCAACGAAACCGTGCCCCTAAGGACAGGGCACCAACCCTCCCCTCTACTTCATGGCCCGGCTGGGCCCCAGGGATTGGTCGGACTCGTCGCTTACGTCGGGCCGATTGGCCGAGAAGAACCCTTTGCCCTTTTAGAGTGCCCTCTCCTGAGCCCTCGGATCGGCAGCAACCCTTCGCGAGCATCCATCATCGTATCTTATGACTGCTCTTCTCCCTCGCCCACCCCTTTATCGAACCTCCTTCGTCTCGCTCGCGCCGGGGTTGCTGGATAATGGCACGGAACCGATTCGCTGATTCGAGAAAACGCGCTTACGCGTCGCGATTGGTCCGCGCGATTTTTTATAATTATTTCGATACGCCGCGCCACTTCGAAGGGGGATTTATGATGCCCGACGTATGCCAGGCGTGCGCGCTCCAGGCTCGGTCGGAGCAATAAGATCTCTCGTGCGCTATCGGGAATGTTGAAGTTTGAGTTTTTTTCGCTGTACACTTTTTGCACATGTCCGTTAACCGATCACAGATTTGTACGATTTCTGGCCAGGTAGATCGGGTGTATGTAATGATCACACGTAGTTGTGCGCAAATACAGTTGAGGTAACAACAATTATTCTCACACCGTCGGATTATTAGGGGTTCTTTTTCTGCAGGCATTTGTTGCGGATGTTGGTTAACCGGGCACAAAAAAGTTTCGTGCAGCTTTTATATGATAACATACGTCGAAATATATTGACGTGAGAATTTAGTCTTTGCTACACACAGTTGAAGCTCTCATGTAGATTTAAGATTAATAATTAGACGATTGCATGTAACACCAACGATGTTGCGAGGGTAAAGATACCAACATTACCGCCGTTGTTTCCACAGCACCGGTTACACATGTTCCAGACCTTAATTACACCTCACAACAGCGCGCGGTGCGAACACAAAAGTGCGAAAACAGAAGCGAGCAATCAGCCGCGACTAAAGACACAAGAAGGGGAGATGGTTTCCTCGTATTTTTGTGGGAAAATCGAAAACCGCGTAAGGCCAAAGTCGAAGAGGAGGACGAGGGTCAGCAAGGCCAAAAAGTGGAAGTCGCTTAGCCATTTGGAAGCGCTCTCGTGGTACTTTCCCATCGACTCCCGATTCCAGGATAAAAGAGCAGGAGAGAGAAAGAGAGAGAGAGAGAGAGAAGCCGAAAATGGAGATAAATGCTCGCGAGAGCCTCGTAAAAACGCTCGCCGCGGACGCAGGTGAGGTGCGATACCTCGAGGTCGGCGGAGGTGCGCTGCTACCGGCCCGGGAATGATCGTTACGGTGCGGCTGCAGCGGGGGAAAGAGGAGAAGGAATTCAAAATCCTGTGAATCCCGCGAGCGCGTCACGTTGCTTGTCGGGGATCCGACCCGATTTTTGCCTCTCCATCTGCGTTACCTGACGGGAGGATTCTCCCGAAAATCGTAAAAAAACGGGGAAAAAAGGCTCGACAGGTCAGGTAGGATGCCTCCAGGAAGCTGCCGAGAGCGCGAGAGAGTATTGGTGTGGATTCCCTATAAAATTTCGCCTCGCCCGTCTCGCGTCCTCTTCCCCTCGCGTGCGCTCCGGACCCTTCTGCCATCGCTCGCGCGACCCATTACTTCCCGTGCTCGCTTCCTTTCCGTCGGGCGAGACGTCGCGGCAGGTACATACGCGGCTCACACGCGGCTTTCCCTTTTCATCCGCGAATTTGCATCGTCCCTCCCTTTTTTCGTCGGAAATTACGTTTTTTCCGTGAGAATCTGCGAATCCCCACGAAACTTCTCGCGGAGGACGGGGAAGACGACGCGTATGATGGTGGGGGTAGACGAAGGGGTCCAAGATTTTTGGGGTGATTTCTACCGGTTTTGACTTTACCCCTTGCTCCGCTTTTATATGCCGTTACCGTGAACGACGTGTTAAAAATGACGGTTCGCGTTGCCAGGTGCGCGATACTTTGTGATAATGCGGAGAGAGAAAGAGAGAGGGGGAAAGAGAGAAAGAAAGAACTATTTGCGGATGGAACTATCGGCGATCTTTCTTTACGTTAGGCACATGTACAATAGTCACACAGTCAAACGTAGTCTGAGACGTGAGAAACGACGGTTTTTTCGTTTCTTTTCCATTAAGTTCGCAGAAGTAACCGACGACTGACTCGCTGTTGGCGAATCATAGGTGACGGTTTGAAGAAAATCCAACGAACGTCGCGATAGATTTTTATAGGGTATGCGGTGCATCCTAAAGGCTCCATGAAACAGAAAGAGAGAAAGGGAGAGAGAGGAGGGAAAGAGAGAGAGAGAGAGAGGGAGAGAGAGAGAGAAAGAAAGATTGATCAGACGAGACATGAGACAAGAATGCGCGTTAACAGTTTTGCAACGTGTCCCTGTAAACTCCGTGATTTTTAAGATTCCCAAAGAACAGATTTACATAAAAAAAGTTAGAAATCTGTTCAAAAAATTCCGAGTCTGCGCTATAAGTTAAATGATTCTTTCCATTTCTGAGATGCTTAAAATACCTATCTTGAGTTTAACCGTCCGTTTCAGTATCCTACATAACTACCTCGCTATTAATTCCAAAATACCAGCAAATTCACCCTTATGATTGGATAAAAGGCATCATACGTTGGACGCGATTCAGCCGCCAATCTCAAGCGTGGTCGACTCGATATCGAAGGAATGTCGTTCATCTGGAAGATCGTTATCTCCCGATGGATCCTCGACGTCTCTTTGTGCCGCATCTGCATACATCGACTCACGCATACAGCGGTGCGCGCACATCGCGCGCCCGCCTATTGTGCATCGATGCGGGCACAATGCAGTCGCCCATGCAATTTCGAGCCATTCAAGTCCGTTTAGCGCTCCGCGCGAGTGACACGGTAACCGTCTATCCATCACCCACGCACACTCACGACGAAAACACCATCGTCGAAAGTCGCACGAATGCAAGTAACGGCGGCGTCGTCGGTGGGGGAGGGGGAAGGGGAGAGCAGTACAGCTGGATGCAGCCCTTGTGTACGTGCTATTCCTACGAGAGGTCGAGCATGCGAGGCCGCAGAGGCGACCTTCGCCTTCTACCTCCAGCACGACTCTTCTTCGCGTGACCCACGGCGAAAACTATGTGGCCGACGACCCGAGCACACAAGCTACGTCCAGGATCAGGAGTGTGCGAGTCACGTCCGTCAGGTGATAAAGCGTAGCACAATGGCGCACCTGAAGACCGGCTACCGAGGATTACGCGGTTTTCGGCGAGATCTGCTCTTACTCTACTCTCGAATTCCTTACGTTTAATTTCACCACTTCACAGGAACCATGCGGGAATACCATGCGCGATTCGTGTCAAATTCTTGCTAATTGACACTGATGTGATTTTATGACAATCAGATTTTCTGCATGTTTTTTTATATTCCAGTGTTTTAGAGTTCAAGTAAAATTATATTTAATTGATTATCCCGGGGAACGTGTAACGATATTAAAGATCTATTTCAGAAGAGATCTTGTGGCAGATTCATATATTTCAAATCGAACGTATGACCGCTCACACCAAATCAGCAACGTATATCGATTCTATCAAAACGTGTTCCGATTTCACCGAACAGTAGCGTATACATTCCTATCTAAATTGACGGACTCGGCCGATGAATAGCGAGAGACGCTTTCTCTGATCGCAAGCGAGGAATCGCCATGAAAAAGTTCCATTTTCTGGATGAATTCTGGCCACAGCACCGTGCAACCAGAATCCCATCCTAACCGGCGGCCTCTTTCTGTTCATCTCCTCTCTCTCTCAGAGATTCTCCCCGTCTCTCCGTTCCCCCTCCTTCCCCCCCTCTCTCTCTCTCTCTCTCTTGCTCTCTCGTTCCTCCGATCATTCTCTGATTCAGGATGTTTTTGTTCGTCAAGGCGAGAATAGCCACCGAGAGAAAGACGACGAGGGCGTACTGCCCTTTCCGCGCGATCTACATAAAATATCGATCCACGAGGTATCCCGGGAAAAATATCGACGAGTCACGCGGGCCCATGATGAATCCCTCCTACTGAAACCGGCCCTTCTCGCTTTAACGTACGCGGAGAACATTACAAAAGAGAAATCGTTATTTTCACGGCTCGACCCGATTTCGCGGTTTCGTCCCGTGTTTCCTCCCTGTTTCATCCCCTCGTCCTGCCCCATGCATTCTCGATCCACCCGCGAGTCTCGCGATCTCTGTCGCACTTCGTCTCCGTCTTCGCAATTTGTTCGATCCTCTTCCTTTCGCTTAATCCGCATCTTGCTTCTTCTTATTCCACAGCGGTCTTGTAATCGATCAGTTCCCTTCACAGCTTCGTCATTTTGTTCTTGGCAGGACGACCGATTAAACAGTTGTAGATAGATGCCGTCGTATTTCAATTTTCCCGATCACGACAGATTTCTTCGGTCTTCGGTCTGATGAGAAAAGATTATATTCTCCGCTGCAAACGAGACGGCTTCTGACCTTAAGCATCACGAAATGCGTTTTTCACATCGCGCTTGATTTGATTGTTTTCACGAATCACGGAACTCTCGCAGTCGCGATTGTTCCGACGTTCGTGACAGCTAGTAATCATGTCTCTATTTCCCAGGAATTGACTTACGGTTTATCAGGAGCACGATTCGTAGAATGTGACTCGTCAGAAGCGACCGGCGCGAACTTTTGCGCACGGCTATTGAATTTTTGCGTGTAAATCTTTATTAATCATGCAAGTAGATCAGAATCAGCTTTTTCACTGGGAAATTTTGACGAAACTCGAATAAATACAATAAATCGATGCCTAAGATTAGCGGACTCCTAATTGGCCCACGATTCTATAAAAATGTGATTACGAGATAACGCGCTTATATCTATTCATGCTTCTTATATCTATTTCAAAACATTTAATAATTTAATATTATACACGTCGTACTTTTAATTCTCGTTCATCGTCCTGCATCGTCGAGCGTTAGATTCCCAGCCAAATTTTGTGATCTCCCCGTGATATTTGGTGATGGTCGCTCCGTGGCAAACAGCCACGTTTATGCAGAAGAATGATTTCACGGTGTCGCGGGGTAACGCGACTGCGACTCGGCGTTTCTCATCGTCGCAGAGACGAATTCTCCCCGATTTACTCACGTCTCCGCAAGACGCACCCCTCTAAGATGGCAGATCGCATTAGTGCCGGGTTTCTCTCCGCCTGGCCGTTCTTCTTTGCCGGTCGTGTAGCAACGCGGCCGAATGTCTAAGCAGCATCTGCCTTCCGCGTCGTTTCTTCGTCGCCATTCTTACGTAAGGCGACGACAATGCAACCCGGCCCGGGTTACGGGGGAGGAATTCCCCGGCTATTATTCCCGTGGTATATGCACCGCCTGTCAACCGACTTACGATTTTATTAGGGCCTTACGTCATTCGATTATGCTTGCCAGGGCCCGGTTTTCATTCAGAGCGGCCCGCGAAGAAACGTCCGACATAACAGATCGGACTTGATCGGCTCCTACGTAACGTTTCGGCACCGTGAGATTTATCGTTGATTTATCGTGTAAAAATATAGTTGCAGGCTATGTACATAATTTCGGGATCATTGGCGAGAAATGGAGGGATTTTTAGTATATGGTAAGCTGAAGTTCTCTTGATTATAAAGAATTTTGGAATCTCGCAGGAAAGAGGAACGATCATACACGGGGAATATAATACGTGGCTGAGGAAATTTTTTGAAAAACAATCTCGGTTTCTCGAAGAATCTCTCTAAACAC